TCATGCTGTCCGTGGGCATCGCCCTGGCTGCCTCCGGCTCACTCCTGCTACTGGGCTTGCTGCTGTATCAGGTGGGCGTGAGTGGACACTGCCCTCCCCTGCGCGCAGCTGCCCCCTCCATGCACAGTGACCACAGTGGCAGCGGCAGCATCTTCAGCATCTCAGGACGGCTCTCTGCTGGCCAGCGTCATGAGACCACTTCCAGCATCGCCAGCCTCATCTGACCAAGCCGGAGCCCTTGCCACAGCTGCCTCAGCCTCATGGACGGTGCTGGCGTGTGAGTGTGTGTGTGTGTGACTGTGTGTGTGCACCTCCCCAGGACTGTCCGGCCCTACGGGAAGGTGAGTGTGTGTCTTCTTGGAACTGGTGTTGTGTCCATGGAACCGTCAGAGGCTGCCTGTCTGCACTGGGGTCTCCAGGCAGAGAAGTATCTGGGGCCCCTGGAGATTCTGGGCTTGCTCCTATTCCCAACACCCCTCCCAGCCAATCCTGCCCTCTCGCACTCATCAGGGACTTCCCCGGGAGTGACTGCTGCCCACCCCGGAGACCGCACCAGCAAGTCTTCATTGAGGAGAACCACTGCTGGCGGAGTGGGCTCCGGGGCGTGACAGGCCTGCGTTGGAATCCCCCTCGACCACTTCCCAGCTGGGCAACTTGGGCAAGTGACTCGGCTTCTCTGAGCCTCAGTTTTTGAGAGTCATGGTTGTGGTCATCTATTCTGAGGATCGAGTATGGAAGGACGGGGTACCTTACAGATGTGCATTAAAAGTGGTGGCTGCTGTTACTGTCACTGTCTTTACATCCCAGCTCACCTAGAGACCTTCCTTCCCCTCTCACACCCACCCCATCCGAGTGAACACTCGTGCCTGTTCCGTGCCCAAAGCGCCTGCAGGAGTCCTCAGTAAGGCCTGTGGTTCCTCCTCTCAGCTGCTGTGAAGCCGAGGGGAGAGGGGCCTGAGGGGTGCTCAGCTTCGGGAAGATGGTGGGTTTCTGGCCCCAGAGAGGGCAGGGGGGTCCTTGCCATTAGCTCACGTGCTGGTTCACGATGAAGCCTCGGATATTGGGGTTTTGTCAGCTGGTGACTCAGGAGGCTGCAGCTCCCTGCCTGCCTCAGCAACCGGAACATCCCGGCCCTGGTCCGTGTCCTCGCTGTACGGGCTGGCCTGACTCCGGGTTCCGGGGCACAGGAGGGCTGTGTGAAACCCGCTTGGGTGCTAAGAGTCACTTCCTGCTTGAGGTCCACCCTGGAAGGGATCTCCCGTCTCTGGTGTGGTCATCAATCTCCACTCCCTGGGTGCTCAGGGCAAAGTTTCACCAGAAGAGCGTTTCATCACTTCCTGCTTCACAAGGTGCAGGTTACAGGCAGCACCTCAGCCAGCAGAGAGGTGGGGACCAGACGTGTTCAATGTAGACCTATAAGGGCTCCCACAAGAGAACATTGCTTCCAGCTGCCCAGATCAAGGCAGTCTCCTGGAGACAACACCGAGCTGCTGGATGAGGGCAAGGGTGTTGCCACGCCAGGGAGAGAGCCGCGGGAGCAGAAGGAATAGGGCAGTGATGGCGAACCTATGACACGCGTGTCAGAGGTGACACGCGAACTCATTTTTTTGGTTGAGTTTTCTTTGTTAAATGGCATTTAAATATATAAAATAAATATCAAAAATATAAGTCTTTGTTTTACTATGGTTGCAAATATCAAAAAATTTCTATATGTGACACGGCACCCGAGTTAAGTTAGGGTTTTTCAAAATGCTGACACGCCGAGCTCAAAAGGTTCGCCATCACTGGAATAGGGCGTGTCCGGGAGCAGCAGATATTTCAAAGGCACCTCAGACCCTCCATATATTCAACTTGGAACCCCTCTTCTCGCTCTTAAACTAGCTCCTCCATCTGACCATTCACCCAGCGTCCAGGTTAGAACCCTCAGCCGGGCCCAGACAGCACCCTCGCTCTCCCTCACCCCGTGTCCAGCACACACATCAGCGCCTGCGGACTTCCTTTGTAGATGTTCTTGTGGTAATCAGACCTCCACACTCATCTCCACAGTCCTCTTCGTCTCGGCCTATTTGTGCAGCAGCCTCTCTACTGTTCTCCCTACTTTTGTTCTTTTCTCCTCTTAAATGCAACTTCCCCTCCCCAACACCAATATGTACACATGGAGCCCCAGTGACTGTGCTAAAACAAAAATGCAAATTACCTTGAGATCCTCCCATGGCCCCACCTCTTGCAGGCTAAGGTGCGGACTTTAGCTGATTTGGTCTCTCCCTCCTCGAATCACCCCGTGAGCCAGACACACTAGACTACTGCTGGGCCTCACCGTGTTCTCTCCCTTCTCCCAGCCTCTGTATGTTCTTTCCTTGCCTTCACGTCCTTCTTCAAGACTCACTTCTCTGGGAGTCTTCCCTGACTCTCTCCCCTGAATTAGAGTTGCCCTTTTTCTAGCCCAAACGCTCAATTGTAGACACCAGTCTGCAATTCTTTCTCTGTGCACCCGTCTCCTTAATTGGGTGGTAAACTCCTTCTGGCAGGGTTTGGGTCTTCTCTCCTGTGTGTCCCTAGTTCCCAGCACAGGCCTGACACCTAGTAGGTGCTTTGTTGGATGGCAATGTGTGTGCAAAGATCAGGGAGATCCCTATAATTGGGAAGGGCAGGGAAGTTAGGCTGCTGTCCACTGCTGGCCCTGACTCTCCTGAGGCTCCACACTGCCTGCCCCAGAAATTCTCGCTCTTCCTGGGTTTCCAGGAGGGAGCAAGCATTATCACCAGCTCCTGGGCCATTCGAGGACCACAGGATACCTCTCCATCCTGTAACACAGGGAGGAATCATGTTTCTTTTTGGCTGAGACAGGGTTAGACTCTTCCATAATATTTCTCTTAAGAAACTAAAGGAAAACAGAAAACAGAGGCCCAGAAAATGGGGAGGGGGAGGGTTACATGGCACAGATGTCTGGATGAGCAGCTACTCCAGGCAAGGCCCGTGCCAGGCTCTCCTGGAAAGGAGGCCGCATGAAGAATATAGTTTGTGCCCCCAGATGGCCTACTTCAGACAGCAGTGGGAGTAGACCTCTGCACACCCATCTGGAACATGAGTTGGGAATGTAAGAGCTGGGTCAAGGCACAGGCAGGGCAGAAATGCTACCGCTTCCTCAATCACTTAAGCCCACCCACAACCTCCCGTCTCCAGCCTGTTTGCTCAAAGCAGGTCACAAAACCCCATCTTGGTCCACATTACAACCAGCTGGCCACCAGCCCCTCTGCTATCTCTCTAAAGCAACGGTTCTCAACCTGTGGGTCGCAACCCCTTTGGGGGTCGAACGACCCTTTCACAGGGGTCGCCTAAGACCATCAGAAAACACATATATAATTACATATTGTTTTGTGATTAATCACTATGCTTTAATTATGTTCAATTTGTAACAATGAAAATACATCCTGCATATCAGATATTTACATTATGATTCATAACAGTAGCAAAATTACAGTTATGAAGTAGCAACGAAAATAATTTTATGGTTGGGGGTCACCACAACATGAGGAACTGTATTAAAGGGTCGGTCGCGGCATTAGGAAGGTTGAGAACCACTGCTCTAAAGCTTCCCTTCCTGCCCTAGCAGGTTTGGTTCAGTGGGTAGAGTGTCAGCCCACAGACGGAAGGGTCCCAGGTTCGATGCAGGCTCAATTCCCGGCCCCAGGTTGGGTCGGGTGCTGGAGGCAACTAATCGATGTGTCTCATATCGATGTTTCTGCCTCTCTCCCTTTCTTCCACTCTCTCTAAAATTCAATGGAAAAATATCCTCGGGTGAGGATTAACAAAAAATAAATATAAAGCTGCCCCTTCCTCTCTTACCTCCCCCTCCTGCCTTTATCTCCCTTCTGGTGATGATTCTTCGACCCGTCATTTCAGACTCCGTGACAGAGTCCTCGACTCCTTAGCCACCTGCCCCTTTGGTCCCGCTCTCCCAGGAAACCACCTCCATGGACTAATCCACACACTGGCCTTCACTGCACCTGCCGCCCCTCGGGGAGTGGTTATTAGAGAGACCGGCACAGCCAGGCAGCAGGCGTCACCGTGAATTCCTCATCACCAGTCTCAGCTGGGTCCGCAACGTAGCTCATCAGTTACACTGTTTCCCTCGTCAGCTGTTCCCACAGTGACCCTCAAGTTACCTCCACTCCCTTCACATCCTAGGTCACCTAACATCACTCCCTGCAGGTGGCTTGACCTTCCACCTTGCGAGACTGAGAGTCCTATGGAAGGAAGCCTTCACATCCCTCCCACCAAATCCCTCCTCCTTGCTCCTGTCCGGACAACGACCTTGGCAGCCCAGCTGAGGAATTTGGACTTTGTCCTCAGGACTCTGAGAAACACGGGGCAAATGTAATCAGGGGAGTGAGAGCAGGATTTGGGACTCACTGGCTGCTGTGTGGAACCAGGGTGAGCTCTCCAAGGAAAAGAAGAAGAAATGGCCAAACAGCCCAGAAGTGATGTCTCCGCTGGCCCTAAGGGGTGGGAACAGTGCCCCAGAAAGAAGAAATAGCAGAAGGGCCTAGGGACAAGGGAACTTGGCTCCTTCAAGGAACTACGAAGGGCCCAGCCGGTGTGGCTCAGTGGTTGAGCGTCAACCTATGAACCAGGAGGTCACAGTTGGACTCTCGGTCAGGTACATGCCCGGGCTGCAGGCTCCATTCTCAGTCAGGATCAATGATTCTTATCATTGATATTTCTATCTCTCTCCCTCTCCCTTCCTCTCTGAAATCAATAAAAATATTTTTTAAAAAGAGGAACCACTAAGGGTTTGCGTGGCTGAAACATGGAGCAGTAGCTGGGAAGAGGCGAGGAGTGCTAAGGAGGGGCCCTCGGCCAGTCCCAGGCTTCAGCAGCTCCCCAGCATGTGGCAGTTTCTCAAGGCCAAGAGCAAGCCAGTGAAGGGCTGTCAGCAGAGGAATGGCCCGGTCAGAACGTGTTTTAGGACAATCATCCTGCCTGCAGCACAGAAACTTCATCGGAAAGGGCCAAAATGGAGGCAAGGAAATGGGCTGGTTGATTAATGCCATCGTCCAGATGCAAGATGATGAGGGACAGAATGAAACAGAACAGATTCCACGGATGTTCAGAGGCTGGACTGACAGGTCCTTGTGACTGACTGGAGGGTGGGAGATGTGATGGGTTAAGGTGGATAGAAAGAGGTTAAGATACAAGGTAGAGAAGAAGCTGCTCTTAAAGTCCCTGAACAGGAGGCGGGGAGGGGAGGTCCAGGACACAAGGTGGAGGATTGGGCTTACAAAGCCATTTTGATGAGAGGGAAGAATGGAAAGAGGTTAAAGTTGTGGGTGTTGTAGCAGGAAATTGAGGGAGGCCCTGACCAATAACTATTGTGTCCGTGAGGCACAGGCCATTTTAAGGAGCTGCTATGGAGAGTGCGAGAGGGATGGGACCAAGAAAACAGTGCGATTGCCGGAAGCTGTGAGAGCCCATGAGAGGCTGGAGGCCCGGTAGAGACCACAGCCTGGACAATGGTGAGTCTTACTCCACAGCACACAGGGGCCAGGCACCGGGTCCGAGGCCGGAGTTCACCTGGAGTATGCAATGCTGAGACAATGGCATGTAAGTGGAGGAGACTGGCAAGAGAGGCTGACATATTAGACCCTGAAATCTAAGCTGGTATTGAGTGAAAAGACAAGAAGGGGCCAACAGAGACAGAGGACAGTGGTGTGAAGCTAGAGGCTCCCACCGGGTGGCGGGTGAGGTGGAGAGAGGCGACTGCCGGAAGCTGTGAGAGCCCATGAGAGGCTGGAGGACCGGTAGAGACCACAGCCTGGACAACGGTGGGTCTTACTCCACAGCACACAGGGGCCAGGCACCAGGTCTGAGGCCGGAGTTCACCTGGAGTATGCAATGCTGACAATGGCATGTAAGTGGAGGAGACTGGCAAGAGAGGCTGACATATTAGACCCTGAAATCTAAGCTGGTATTGAGTGAAAAGACAAGAAGGGGCCAACAGAGACAGAGGACAGTGGTGTGAAGCTAGAGGCTCCCACCGAGTGGCCGGTGAGGTGGAGAGAGAGGACTTGCCACATGTTCCTTCTGAGCTCGAGTCAAACCCTAGGTCCTCAGCCATGTCACCTGGATGCCTGGATACTGGAAGAACATGTTCCAGAAATTTCCAAATCTGTTCCAGTCCAGGTGGAGCTTATATCATATCCAAGCACATCCTACATGAGACCTCAGGCCTTCTGGGGTCACTCAGGTCTCCCCAAAGGAGCTTCCTCCAGGCTGCAGGGGACTGACACATGCCCCTCACACTCAGCACTCTGCACAGGACAGGGGCCGCCTTCCTGACTGTCCTCAGGACCTGAGAGACTCCCCTGGGCATAGCCATGGAAGTCAGCCTCCGGGACTGGAAGGGCCCCCAGGGATGGAACAGACCACTTCTACCCTCACAGCCTGCTCTCCCAAACCAGGAGCTTGCACCCAGAGACTTCTCAGCCCACTCACTCAGGGAGCGGGAGGGGTGCCAGCCCTGGCAGGATGAACGCAAGAGGTTCCTTCTCTGGTCTGTGATCATTACTTCGGACTGAGATAATGGCATTATTGCTGAGCAAAGAAGCAAGTTGCAGTTACAGTGTTTGAGCCTCAACTTCTCAGGGTATAAAATGGGGCTGCCTCCCCAGCAGGACTGTTGTAAGAAGCACTAGGACATCGGTGCTATCGTTGTTATTCTATAGCATCAGAGACTCGAATTCAAGTCCTTTCTTTCCTGACCAGATCTGAGCTGAGTTCTGGGAAACAGGGAAGCTCAAACCCCAGCCCAGAGAGTGAGGACAAAGGGGGCTTGACAAGCTCCTCCCTCAGGATTAAGCCTGGTTGTGGGAGGACCCACTGTGAGGAGTGATTGCCCTGGGGGAGCCCACAGGCAAATGGCTAACACTCGTACAGGCCGGCTCAGTTCCACTTTATTTAAGTAACTCACTTAATCCTTGTAACCTTGTGTGGCAAGTACTATATGATCCCCATTTTACTGAGAAGAGAGTAGCGCACTGAGGGAGTAACTTGCCCAAGGTCACACAGCTCATAAATGGCAGAGCTGGGATTTGAATCCAGGGAGTCTCAGCTCTCAACTCACCCGCTACTCTGCTGGGGCTCCTTAAACTTCACGCCTGTGGCTTGTGTGACCCCTGTCTTTGGCCTCCACATATGGACAAGGGATCTGGCTCTGCTTTGGGGACAGCGGAACAAGGCAGCTGGGAGCTGGGTTGTCCTCCACTGTCAGGTCTGGGCTGGGGTTCCCAGGACAGAGTAGGTAGTGGCAGCTGCTGGGGGTGCAGGACAGGGTGCAAGGCTGAGGCAGAGGCAGCTGCGGCCAGGGCCTCAGCCAGAGGAGGACAGACCAGAGCCAGATCTGGCTAAGTCCCAGGCCTCCCAGCACATTCAGCATCCTGGGCTCCTGCACCTGTGGGCCCAGGTCACATGCCCTATTTGTGCCTGGGGCCAGGCATGTGCAGCACAATGGCAATGATTCCTCAGAGGAATCCAGCAAGGCCACTCAGGACAAGGTCCAAGGTACTCGTGACCCCACGGTCCTGCTCAGCCAGGCTTGCCCTCCAGCAGGTTCTGAGAGGAAGCCCTCCCTGCTGACCCCGACTGGGGGCAGGGCTCAGGAAACGCAATTGCTCTTCTGGGATCGGGCCCATACCTTCTCCTGGATCCCTCAGACATCTTGACTCAGGTCCCAAAGAATACGTGAAAACAGGGCCAGCTGAGCTGCTTTCTGGCCCAGAACTGCAGGCAGGACAGCTCCTTCAGGTGGGCCTGCGGGAGCATTAGGTCAGGGGACAGACCCACTGTGTTCGCAACTGCTCTCCCCTCGGAGCTCTCCCCTCGGAGCCAGGACATGTTCTTGGCCCCTTAGTTCTGCTGCTCAGGGTCCTTCTCCAGGTCTCAGGCTGGGGCAGTTCGACCATCTCTGGACTCAGGAAAAATTGCTGGAGTTGGGGCTGTGTGTGCTGGGCTTCCCTCCTCCCTGGGCTCCTCTCTCCTGCTGACAAGTCCTTGGATGTCAGTGTTTCCCTACTCAGTTCTCAGTGCCTCTCAACTCCACTTCCAAAACCTAAACCACTCCCAGGCTGTCAGTGACAATCAGGCTGACTATTCCCAAGCCCATGTCTGCTGACAGGACTTCTCCCCTCCCCAGTGAACCCCAGCTGCCCCGGGGCACCTTTCCCTGGAAATCTACATCCGGCACTGAATCCACATTCCCAAGAAACCTGTTCCTCCATCAAGCCCGAAACCAGGGCAGCTCCCTGGACTCCTTCCGCCCCCACATCAGGTAGCCAAGCAGTGCTGTCAGCCCTGCCCCCTTCAATGTGCGGAATCTGTTCCCTACACATTAGTCTCATCTTAGTCACTTCTCTCCTGGTCTCTGTCCTCCAACCCATCGCTTAGCAGCATCCATAATGCCTTTTCTGTCATGATTACAGCATTCCCTTGCCCAGAAAGTTCACAGATGAGCCTAGGTTGCTCTCAAATTGAAGAGCAAGCTCTCTACCTTGGCACCAAGGCACTAGCTCAGTGATGGCGAACCCATGACACCTCTGACACGCGAACTCATTTTTTTGGTTGATTTTTCTTTGTTAAATGGCATTTAAATATATAAAATAAATATCAAAAATATAAGTCTTTGTTTTACTATGGTTGCAAATATCAAAAAATTTCTATATGTGACACGGCACCAGAGTTAAGTTAGGGTTTTGCAAAATGCTGACACGCCGAGCTCAAAAGGTTCGCCATCACTGACCTAGAGGGTATTATACACACTGAGCTCAAAAGGTTCGCCATTGAAAGGGCGAGGGCTACGCCCTCCATCTTGCCCCAATCCTCCATTTTTGGGCAGCCATGTGCTCAGCAAGGAGCTTTTTCCCGGAAGCCCAAGCCTCTGCTAGCCGCACCTAGGATTTCTTTAAACTAACCAATGATAATCAAGGGAAGTGCGCGCCATAGATATGACCACATCCTGTGTAACAAGACACCGACTTGCGCCTGGCCAATTGGCAGGGCCCACAGTCCTCTCTCCTCCCCTTACTCCAACCCCCCTATAAAATCCCTCTTCCCACAGGGCTAGCTCTCTCTCTGCCGCTTGCCACTGCGTCGGCGAGTGTGGCGGGGAGCTCAAGCTAGCTTGAATAAAGACTCTTATGCTTTCGCATCGGACACGGCTGGCTCCCTGGTGTGGTTTCTTGGGGATCCTGAAATCTGGGCATAACAGCCATCACTGCACTAGCTGATCTGGTCCACGCTGCAGCTTCATCACTGCCATGGGCACCCCTCAAACCCTATGCTCCAGCTCCAGCCCTCCTCGACCTCCTGCCTTTTTCTCAAGCACCTCCCTACATTAGTCATCCCTCCCTTTCCTCCTCTGCTGGCTCTTTCTGCAGGCTAACGTGGCATCCAGGTGGACACAGTGTGGGGTGGCTGCCTGGCTCATGACTTCCCCTTGTCTGATAATGACCTGGAACAAACAGGTGGGCTCCCCAAATCACATATGTGCTACAGGAGGCTGCTCTCACTGGTCACAGCTGTGGTGGACACTGGACCCAACCTGGGCCAATCAGATTCTCTCACCTGAGTTCTTGAGACTCAGAACTGAGAGTTTAGGAGTCCCAGGCTTGGAGTCTCATCAATGCCCATAAATGACAAAGCACTAGAGGTACAGAAATCAGGCTGATAATCAGGCTGCTGGGACCACCTGCTTCCTGTCCTCCTGAGTCAGCTGTCCCTTTAATTCTATGCAAAAGCCAGGATTCCTTTCCATTGCTTGCAAAAGAAGCAAAGAACCAAGGAAGCTTAACTGTCTCCCTTGCCCCAATATTCCACCAGCAGCTGTGACCCTAATCTTTTCCTGTCACGTTCTTCATCAAGTTTTTCACAATCAACTGCACTCCCTTATCCTTCACCTACTTACTCCTGAGCCCACAGTAATTCAATAAATTTTACAAGTATTTATTTAGCACCTGCCTTGTGCAAGACTCTGAGGACACAAATGAGACATAGCCTGTGGCCTCAGGGAGCTCACAGTCTAGCTGTAAGGACAGGCACAGTAAAAAATAAGTGCAAACTGCAATGAAGATTAAGGTAAAATGTGGCAAGGGTGATGGGAGAGAAGCTCACAGGGTTTTGAGAGGGAGGGGCTCCCCGGAGGCTGGGCATGTCCGAGCAGCATCTTCCAGCTCCGTGACAAAGAACACTTTTATGCACAAGTTCCAGTTCAGGAAAATAAAAATGAGCAACTTTTAATTTTTATTTGAAATAAAAATAGATTTATTAGTACCTGTGAAAAACAGAATATATTATATCTATTTAGATTACCCACTGTATTGATAGGAAAAAATTTCAATAAGAAACTTGGCACACTGGTTTTCACCTGCTAAAATGTTACCAACTGGTAGATAATAATAACTAGTTAAGTAGGGAGAATGCAAACCAAGAGGCTGACAGAGGCCTCATTTCCATAGTCAGGTCCTTGGTAGGCTTTATCCTGAGAATAGCAGGGAGCCATTGAGAGTTATTGAGCAAGAGAGGGGCACTGTCACTTTGGTGGCTAGTGTCAGGGGTGGGAAAATTGCTCAATCCCTGGTCAGCCCTTAAATCCTAGCCACCTCCATCCCTGAGTTCATTGTAGTATTTACAATTCTTAAGCTGTCAGGCAAAGGGTGTGCAAAGGTCGTGGCTCAGAGGGAGAAATGGTGCCTGCTACCTTCTGTCCCCAGCTCGCTGGCCCCAGGCTGAATGTAATTGTCCTCAATGAAACCATCATCATCCTCATCTTCACCGGCCTCCGGACAGATCCCCTTCCTTGTCCCGGGCAGTGGGCGATGCTGATAGCTGAGGCGGTATTTGCGGCAGAGGTGGCATTTGGCAGCAAGTGCAATGAGGAGAGAGAGGACCACAGCTCCCAGCACAACCCCCACCAGCACAGGCCATGCCCGGGCCCCAGAGCCTGGCCCAGGGGTCATGGCTGATAGCGTGGGGAGCTCCGAGGGTCCCACAATGGCTGCAGAGAAAGGAACAGCATTATGAATGGGCTCCAGATGGGCTCCCTGGGGAAACCGAGAGGAGTGGGGGCAGGGTCCTTCCCCCAACCCCAGCATCTAAGGGGAAACCACCCCCCTCTTCAGCTTCCCTCACTGCTACTCACTTTGGTTTGTGTCACTCATGGAGTAGCTGGAAGACACCGTGAGCCTTGGCTTGGCCAGAAGAGCCCTGGCTCCAAGCAGATCCCAGGTGATAGGCAGCCCTGGGGCACAGATCCTGAAACATACACACATGTGTGGCTGTCAGGGGTGGCCACAGGGCACACGTAGCAGGCCATACTCACAGTCGTGTTAGGGTGCTACACAAACGCTGGGGACTGGACAACTAACCATAAACAGTTGTTCACAGGAGAGAAACAAGCTGAGAAATTGGCTCTTTGGAAGGAAATATTGCAGGGTCCAGCTCTGGAAGTGGCTGGAAACATAAATCAATGCTGGAACTTACACTGAGCACACTGTATGATCCAGGTACCATGCTCACAGCAATCTGTAATGTCGGTGTAAACATTATTCTCTTTATAGATGAGGACTCTGAGGCCCAGAAGGGTCAACTAATTCAGCCAAAGTTCCAGCCCAGGGCCCAGTTTGCTATATTGCATGGTAAGCTGAGGATGGGAGGTGGGGGCAGAGGCAGTCCTGCTCCCAGAGGTTGGACAACAGCAATTGCTTGGAGTTAACAAGCCAAAGTGGAAACCACACGTGGAAGACAGTGCCAATCCTCACCCAGAGCAGGGGGTCTCAGCACAGCAAGGGCAGACTTGGCCCCTCTGCTCCTGAGTCAGGAAGTAGCCAAATGTAGACCACCTGAATCAGGAAATCATCTGGATGAGAATCACTAGGGCTGGAGAGGATCTAGAGAAGGAGCACCTGAATTAAGGGAGTATTTGGAGAAGATCATCTAGAGCAGCCGTGGGCAAACTACGGCCCGCGGGCCGGATGGGGCCCGTTTGAAATGAATAAAACAAACAAACAAAAAGACCGTACCCTTTTATGTAATGATGTTTACTTTGAATTTATATTAGTTCACACAAACACTCCATCCATGCTTTTGTTCCGGCCCTCCGGTCCAGTTTAAGAACCCATTGTGGCCCTCGAGTCAAAAAGTTTGCCCACCCCTGATCTAGAGTAACAAAGAAACAGAATTTCTGGAGGATGAGGCCCAGAAACCAGGATTTTAAAAAGATTCCCAGGTGATTCTAATGTGCAGCCAAGGTTGAGAACCACTGGACTAGACTCAGAAATGCCTGGAGGAGCACCTGAATCAGAAGGGGGGGGCAACACCTGAATCTAGGGAGTATCTAGAGCAGTGGTTCTCAACCTGTGGGTCGCAACCCCTTTGGGGGTCGAACGACCCTTTCACAGGGGTCGCCTAAGACCATCAGAAAAATCATACATAATTACATATTGTTTTTGTGACTAATCACTATGCTTTAATTATGTTCAATTTGTAACAATGAAAATACATCCTGCATAACAGATATTTACATTATGATTCATAACAGTAGCAAAATTACAGTTATGAAGTAGCAACGAAAATAATTTTATGGTTGGGGGTCACCACAACATGAGGAACTGTATTAAAGGGTCGCGGCATTAGGAAGGTTGAGAACCACTGATCTAGAGGAAGAGCACGTAGGTTAGGGAAGTACCCATTGGAGGACCAGCTAGGGCTAGAGATTATCTGCAGGTGGAGTACCTAAATCAGATACTCCTGGGAAGGAGTATCCAACCTAAGAAAGTACCTAGGAGATAAGCACCTAGTTTAGGGGAGTACTCCCCCATAGTCTTTTACACCAATACTTTAATGAGACCTTCCCTCCTCACCACCAACTTGTCACCAAGTCCATCAGTTCTTCTAAATATCTCTGGAATGACTATTCCCTTCCTTGGCACCCCACTGCCACTTCCCCAGTCCGAGCTGCCTTCATCTTGTACCTTTACTCTAACAATAACCTCCCAACTGGTCTCGCCCCATCTCTAGTCCAATCCCCAGAGCCATGGGCCTAAAGCCCAAATCTGACCCCCTCACACCCCTGTTTAAAAATCCAAGAGCTCACCACACCCAGTGCTGCATGCAAATTCCTCAGCCACACAATCCAGCACAAGGCCCTCAGGCCAAACTCTTCTTCCTCTTCCCACAGTTCCCTCTCCCCACACAGACACCTTCCACCTCAGCCACCGCCTCCCTTCTCAGTTTTTTTGAGTCCACCATCTCGAATGCTAAATCAGGCCACGCCAGTTGGTGAGGCTGTCCCAGGCCTCTCTGTATGACCCCTTTCAATGGCCTAAACCATAAACTACCAGTCAGAACTGGCCAGTTACTAGATGGGCAGCTCCCTGAGGGCAAAGACTGGGATGATTAACCTGTGCCCTGGGACTGCCAGAGAGCTTGGCACTTGGCTGCTCAGTGCCAGTTTGTGAGTTGAGTGAGGGACAGAGCTGAGAGTGAATATGGGAGTGGGGGTGAGAGGTGGGACAGGAGAAATTAGAAAGGACGGGTAAATGAGTAACATTCCGCGGGTGCCCACTGTGGGCCCCACACGGTGCACTGGGTCCTCAAAAACCAAGATTTTGTTTAATTGAAATGAATTGAATTCAATTTGACCTTTCTTTTACTCCTATTCCTTTCCTTCTGCCTTGTCCCTGTGGTTTCTTCCCAAGGACATTTCCTCACACCCACAGGCGGTCACCCCACCCCCTCAAGTCACATTTCTTCCACTAACAAACACACCCCTCCTCTGATCTTCAGACATACATACCCACCCTGATCTGTAGCTCCTTTCCTGCTCCCAGGAGCCCTCAGGGACTTGTGGGTTCCTCCTCCCAGCCCCCCAATTCTTCCCCTCTGCTACCCACCTGTAGGAACTGTGCACACTCCGTGGAGGAAGCTTCCGGCTGGGGCCGGCAGACAGTGGGCGGGGCTTGACTCACCTGGGGACGCCCCTGGTGGGGCTGAAGCTGCAGGTGAGGGCGGAGGGCTGGGCAGCAGGCAACGCCCACAACCGGGAGGACTAACTAGTCTTCCCAAGCTTTTGCGGAGAACCTTATGGCACTGGCCTCACCCCCACCCCCACTACTGGGGAGAGGCGGGTGGGCTGGTGCAGTTGGGATCCTGAGAGGAAGGGGTGGTCCTATGGGCCCTAGAAGGGGCGGGCACTTCAGCAGGCTGCTGCTCAGGCTGGCGGCCCAGATGAGCAATGACTTTACGGTGACAGGTACAAAGTCCGGAGTTGAAGAGGGAGCTTTGCAGACCTGTGAAGGCGGTGGGCCGGAACC